CCTGTGTTCCCTGCAAGACCAGGATGGGGTAAAGGCCAGGGCTGTCTTATCTGTCCTGTAGAGCGTTGAGGCTCTCCAGTGGAATGTCGAGGTGGGAGATCAGCCACGGTCTGTTTGCGTCCCTTTGCAGGATTCTGGCTCTAAACCTCAGGAGAAGCAACAAAAGAGAAGTCAACTTCCGTGTCTGTGGGCAGCCCCAGCCCCCTTGCCTTGTGCTCCGTTCTGGCTCCTCTCAGCCCTCGCTCGCCTGCCTCCTCGTCTGGCAGTCTGGGCTGGCACAGCCCTATTTATACCCTTCTGGGACCCGCCGTGCCACCGACCCCTTTGTGAAGTGGACCAATAGGAGCGCTCTTCCCATTTTGACATGATGATGACATCACCAGGCGGTTGCTTGGAGCTGGTGCTGCATCCAAGTGATGCCTTATTTCTAGTAGTTCAATGAGAAGAAAGACATAATAAACAGTGAAATTAACTAAAAAACAAGAGTTGACAATGCTGGGGACAGAAATGAAGTACGTGTAGGAGCAACGTCGAGAAGAGCATCTCAAAGGTTAGAAGAGAACTAAAAGCAGCAGGTCCTACCTACTGTCCTTTATTTTAAAGATTTGGGTGGTACTTTCTGCTGTGATTTGTGGGTTTGAAGGCCATTGTGGACGAAAGGCACTTGCCGAGTTTCCTGAGGTTTGTATCTCACATCTTTGACATTGAAGACTTGTCTCAGTGCCCCACCCTGTGTCCCTGAGTGGCTGGCAATGCTGAGGGTGTCTCTCAGTGTAGTGAGAGACTGACGTCTGTCTGTCTTTGGAGTGATCCATATTTTTTGCTGTGGACTTCCCTGTGCTGTGCACTTCAGTATATCAGTGGAATAAAACATGACTTAACTTCCATCTGCTTGGTTCACCGCAGTCTGTTACATCCTCTAAGATTCACTGGGTAAGAGACAGAAGGTGCCAGTGAGGCCTCAGTAGCTTCTCTCTGAACATCAGGAAACAGTTTTGCACTGAGGGGGTCACCAAGTACTGGTACAGTTTGTCCAGAGGAGTTGTGAAGTCTCCATCCTTGGAGATACTAAGAACCCATCTGGACATGGTCCTCTGTATCCAACTCTGGGGTCCCTGCTTGTTCAGGGAGTTGGATAAGATGACCTCTGGAGGCCTCCACCAACCTCATCCAGGCTGTGGGTCTGTGATTGTGTGAAATGCTCTATGGTTTGAAAACCCCAAAAATACGCGGTAACTCTGAAATGAGAATTTATGGATGCTGTCTTCAAAGAAATTGAGTAGAATCGCTCATGTGTTGACTTCAGTAGAAAATTTAATTACTGTTTGTTTCCCAAATGTAAAGTTTTGTGGTGTTACAAGAAGTAAGATTGTGGGTATCTGTGTTTCTATAGTCACTCTGTGAGTTAATTACTCATGGTGTCCAGTTGATAACATCAAATTTTAAAATGTGTATCACAGCATATCTCTCTACCTATTGCATCTTCAGGGTAAATTCCGAACTCTTATTTTTCTGTGAAAAATGGTGAGTTTTGGGAGGAGGGAGAGGTGTAGTACTTACTTCTGTAGCTGGAGAGAAGCTGTGAGAGGTGATGTAACTTGTTTTGGTCTCTTCCAGCATTCGTTACTCTGTTAAATGGAGAGCAGGCTCAGAACGCCATTCGGAAATTTCACCAGTATTCTCTTCGGGGAAAAGAGATATCCGTGCAGCTCCAACCAACAGATGCTTTGCTGTGCATTACCAATTTGCCCATTTCATTTACGTTAGAAGAGTTTGAAGAACTCGTGCGTGCCTATGGCAACGTCGAGAGGTGTTTTTTGGTCTACAGTGAAGTTACTGGTCATTCCAAGGGCTATGGCTTTGTGGAATACATGAAGAAGGACTCTGCTGCAAAGGCGAGACTGGAACTTCTGGGGAAGCAGTTAGACGAGAGCACTCTCTTTGCACAGTGGATGGATGTGAACCAGCTGACGACAAATCTTATTCACTCCAAGTGCCTTTGTGTAGATAAATTTCAAAAAGACTGCACTGATTCAAAAGAACTGATCCAAGCTTTCTCACTAAAATACAAACCTGTGTTCTGCCAGGTATGTTGGATTTCTCTCTTTTGGAAAGTCACGGTCGTGATTTATGTAGCTCTGGATTTGTATCTTCACTGCTTGCTGTCTTATCCTTTTCTTTTTCTCATTGAAGTAGTGGATGGTTATGGATCTGCATTGCAATATATGAGGTGGTACAGATGCTTTATTGGTGTGGGTTTGCAGTGATTGCTTGATGTCACCTGGGAATTCTGCAGGAGACCACTCCCATGAAGCACCAATAAAATAAGTCATCCCTTCCTCATATTTTCTTGAAAATAATTTCAGAAATATTTTAGACAGCATTTAATGGTTGGTGATGGTTTTATTGCTCAGTAAAGAACGCCAGAATGTATGAATACCACAAGTGCAACAGTTTAGATGATGGAGAATATATATGGATGTAGGTAATTAGTGTATTTAAGAAACCTCTGCAAATATCTGCTATGGTTTTTTTTTCCTGAACTGAAGAAGATGTAGGCTTGGGATCTCATAGTTGGCTGGGCTTGCCAGCAATAAAAGTGGTACATCTTTTGGGAAGCTTGCAGGTTGTCTACGTTTAGCACATATCCATGGCTAAACAATAGCCAGCTGGTCTGTTACCCAGCAACCACTCTCCACTCAAGAAGGAGAATCAGGAAAAGGAAGGAAGATCTATGGGTTGAGAGAAAAACTATGTAATAATTGAAATAAAATAAAATAGAAGATAATAATGATGATGATAATAATCATAGTAAATACAGTTGAGTAACATGCAGTGCAATTGCTCACCACCCCTTGAACAATATCCAGCCTGTTCCTGGCTAGTGATCCCAGAGCAGGAAAATCCCAAAACCGCAATCCCAGAAGAGAGAGAGTAGGCCTTGGGAGCAGAACAACGGGTGAGACCCTCCAGGGATGGTGACCGTAGAGAGAGACCGTCCCCAACAAACTTTCCGATTTATAGTGAGCATGACATTACATGGTATGGAGTACCTAGTTGCCAATTCAGGTGTCAGTCGACCTGGCCATGCTCCCCGCCCAAGTTCTTGGACCTTTGGATCATTACCAAAACCAAGTTGAAAAGTCCTTGAGTACTACAGATACCTGCATACCATGGCTGGCTTCAAACTAAAACAAAGTGTCTTACCAACTTTGTTGTCACCGACTGGCATGCTGCAGTCTTCTCAAAAATGCTCCTTACGTTGGAAAAGTAGCTTTTCTGAGCAGAAAATTGATTCCATTCCATTCCAGTGAAAACAGGACACAGAAGAGGTAGACTGTTAGTAGCCTTTGCCAGTGTAAAGGTTTCCTTCTCATTATCACGGCTTGTGAGATGCTAGCCCACAAATAAAATGTTGCTGGTAGAAGTGGTGCAGACCAGTGTACCATAAACATGCAGTAGAAAGAAAGCTTGCTTTGTACTCACACAGTTGGGTATGGTGTCAGTCGTTTGGTTGTTTTTTTTCTTAAGCATCTTGGAAGGCTGCTCAGGGATTAGCTTCAGGGATAAGTACCCAGAGATTCTCAGCATCCAAGACCAGAAGGTTCATCAGGCTGTCTAGTCTGACCACCTGCAGGCCATCACATTTTCCCTAGCGTTCTTTTCAAGCCCAAGTAATTTGTAGTTGGCTAAAGCCAACTGATGTAGTGAAGGGTTTCCCCGCCCATGGCAGGGGGGTTGGAACTAGATGATCTTTGAGGTCCCTTCCAACCCTAAGCATTTTATGATTCTATGGAAGCGCATCCTTATGCTTGTTCGATCCAAATATACCAGGAGGAGATGCTTAAATGGGAAGTAACTCTTTCCAGAAACTGCCCATCCCTTGTTATTTTGCACTCGGGTCTATTTTCTCAGTTGAATGTGTCTGGCTTCAGCTTCACCTCACTGATGACTACGTTGAGGAGCCTTTGCTCCCCACTGTTTTCTGCCTGAAAGAAGGTATTAAACGCTGTAATCAAGTCACTGCCTCAATCTTTGTTTAATTAGCCAAACAGATTGATCTTGTAAAGTCTTTTACTTCAGGGCTTTTTTCCAGCTGGCAGACAATCCTGAGGCTATTAGCAGCTCCCCCAACAATTCTTCAACATTCTTTTAAAATTTTGAAGTTCAAAGAATAACGAGCTTCTTTGATGAAGATGGTTTTCACTAACAGTATTCTACTGTGCACTTAAAAATTGACTTTTACCCTCCTTCTTGAACCGTAGTGATACATGGGTCACACCTGGTGTAGGGGAGGAGGGTCTGCTCGTGTGTGCATTCTGTTAGTAAACGGCACTACGCACATGTTTCTATAAAACAGTATGGATTTGGATTAGGAAATAGGCACCAGTCAAAAATACAGCCAAGAAGGCATCTTGACACCTTCTCATGTTGCATATCACTCGTATAAACTTGTACTGACTGGGGAAGGAGGCTCTGCCTCGAGGAGTGGTGGGGAGAGGTGCTGGTTTGCAGATGTTACGAGTGAGTGGTGGAGACGAACCCCATGGGCTAACGGGGAGCAGCCCTTCGGAGAGGGAAGATAGGAGTGTGGAGGTAGGCAAACAAGTGGTTCGGATTTCATAGATGAAAAAGGGAAGAGGGTGGATGAATTCTCGTCACAGTAGTGCTGATTAATTATGGTTTTATGAGTGAGATGACCTAAAAATAAAGTACAAAGAAAAGAGAGGGAGGAAGACACAAGAAACTGGAAAAGTAGGCATGACATGATGGGTAGAGAAGTAAGAGGAAAGCTAGGAGAGGACAGGGTAGCAGAAACTTAGGTGGGGAGGGAGTTTCAACAGAGAATGACTAAGAGGAGCTCTTTGTCTGGAAAACTTCTCCCTGAGGAGCGAATAAATTCCAGAAAACCAGCTAAAATGTTCATTCACACTCTTGTTATTTTACATCTTCATGACAACAGTCTCTGTCTTCCGTCCATTTCCTAGTCTAGGCCAATCCAGCCTTCCCACCACTCCTGTGCTCAGTCTGTCCCTCCAGTAGGGACACCCCGACCGTTTTGCCCATCTCCTGGTATTGCTTCTTCACCGTAGCTGTCTTGTGCTGCTTTCCTGGCTTAGTTCTGCTGCTCACCGATGCCAAATTTCATCATGTAAAGAAGATCTTTTACCTAAAATTCTTCGCTGAACTCATGAAATAAACTCTGGTTTATTTCATTGTATTCCAAAGTTGCCATTTTTTTAAATCAATTTGATTTCTCCTCTACTGACAATAGAAATATTGTGTCAGAAAGAGCTGAAGCCAGGCACTTATACATGGGTCTTAGAAAAATGGCATTTCCTAGGACTTAGGGGCACTTTTTGTCCTTTGCTTCAACAAAATGGACCAGAAAACCTCACTCCTTTCTTATGTCAACTTTAAATTGTCACTAGGAGGTCTCCACTGTTACCTAGATCGGGACAGAGGGCTTTTCTTCAGTCCCTGTTTACTTGGGAAGTTTAAAAATTCCTGATCTGTTTGCAGGAACACTGGTAGCTGCACTTTCACATGTTAAGGAGTTTTTAACTGTGCATGAAATTACAATATATTTCATAGCTGCAAACCATTCTTTGCACAAGTACTTCAGGTCTTCACCAGTGCAGCTAAACCGATGTCAAAATAAGATACAATGCTTCTCCACGTAGGCATGTGCATACATAGCATATATCCCTATGTATTTATATATCAAAATATGTGTGTTCTCCAGAGGTCTTTCCAGAGGCCAGTCTTTAACAGTGCCGTTAAAAGATCTGACCACCCTCTTTTTCTTCAAAATCTTTGACTTTTATGTTTCAATTGTTAGTGTAAGTTCATGAGACCTAATAGTTAGGAATAGTTTGGTTTTATCCAGTGAAATCTAGAGGAGATTTCCTCTCTTCCACATCAGAGCTAGTACCAGTGAACCGTTTCTGTTCATTTTGGGACTGGAGATTTTTGCCTAAGCTTTATTCCCTCCCATCTCACCCCTTTTTTTTTTTTTTGTTTGATTTAAATGTGCTCATTCTGCTATAAAACTCTGCAAACAAAGGACAGAGCATTGTTTGATACATAAGCCTGTTTCCAGTCTGCTTGATTGATCAGTCTGGCATCTTCTCTTGGCATTAAATACAACCACAGACTTCATATTCTCCCAAAAGGCAGTATATATCCATGGAATTTGCATTGTTACATGTTTCAACGCCTATCATGTAGTCTGATGAATGCCGTTTTTATTGTTGTAGGCCTAAAAAATGAACAATAATGAGTTTATAATTCTTATCTTGCGAAACAAAAATAGAAATTATTGTAGTATGCAGCTGTATTTGCAATTTTCCTTCTCATTCCTTCTTTATTCTGAAAATACATGTTAAATACATTTCATAGCTCAGGTTCTCCATGAGATTAGATTGAAGTGAAGGTGGTAAATCAAGTAGATGGAGCATGCATGCCAAATATAATCTGAAGCTATGGTGTTCAGCTTATGTCTAGCACATTTGAGAAGGAAACATACTGATTTGGGTAGACATCAACGTAGAATGTCAACTGTTCGCAAAGTATTTTGCAAGGGATAGGTGAAAATGTTGCAAGGCAGTTCCTGGAATTCTGCATTTTGTTCATTGCGCTGTGAAATGGTGTTTCAGTTTGCTCAGGATGAAGATAGTTATATTGGTGACTTTGCGGTGGTCGAGTATGAAACTGCAGAGCAGGCTGAGAAAGTACAAGAAGTCACGGATGGCATGACTATCAAAGGAAAGAGAGTCCAAGTGTCCTACTGTGCTCCGGGAGCACCAGGCAGAAGCACGTTAGCAGCACTTATAGCAGCGCAGAGGATGGTAAGTTATTTGCAAATCTGTTTTCAGAATGAGTTTGGTAGAGCTGGAGCAGCCCGAGTTGGGTCAGAGAGATTCAGCTGCTTTGCAGTAGGAAAACAAGCCAAGATTTTGGAAGCATTAGCCTCCTTTTTTGTCTGGTCAGCCCAATGCAGTCTCCTTCCTAGGGAAAGCATGGCCATATTCTGCGCAGAGTAAGGGTAAAATGTGGCCAGAAGGTACCACAAAGTTATATTTACATAGCTCTGGGATTTCAGTAAATTTAATTTTCTGTAGGAGAAATTGTTGCAGTTCAAAACAAAAAGTAACTGTAAGTGGAGTCATTTGACAAGCTAAAACTTGGGTTAAAACAAGAGAGGCAAGAATTTGTCGATTTGAAGATAAATTTCAAGGTAGAAGAAATAGTTTAATTTCATACTTGATATAGAAGAAAGCTTTTTACACCCACATGTCTTATGAAATGATTTCCTAGAAAATTGAGTGTGATAAGTGTTACATGAAGCTGTCTTAAAGAAGCAGAACAGTCTCATTACTTCAGCTAGTTTGAGCCCACACCTTTATAAAACAGATGAGTGGTGCAATTTAGAAGACAGTTTGTGGTGTTCATGTTAACAGTGCCTTTCATATTCTCCTTTATTGGTAACACTGTCTTGGTTTAAGGGAGAAAAATTAATGTGTTTCAGGAAAAATAATATGCTCGAAGTTTTGGGGGAATACTTTGTTAGGTGTTTCATTTGAGGGAGGAGTGGGAAACAGGGAAGGACATGTTGGGATTACGTTCTCTGTTACATGAAATACCTACCCTACCATCAGACAACTTTGAGGGATTTAAATGTATCTTTTGTGTTCTCGGGATCCTAATGTTTTTGTGTCTCTCTTAATTGGAGATGAGGAATAACAGGAAAGGCTTGCTTCCCGAGCCAAATCCAGTGCAGATTATGAAAAGTTTTAATAATCCAGCAATGTTGCAAATGCTGCTGCAGCCCCAGTTGCGTGGACATGCCGTTAAACCTGGTAAGTTGTTTTAAAACTGAGTTAAAAAAAAAAGGGACCTTGTTTTTGGTGGTACAAGGCTTTCAGCAGAGGAGAGAAGCAGGAATGCTGTTTTAAAATCTGTGCAGACACCGTTTCGGTGTGTCTGTGTAGACTCACACTTTATGAAAATGAAAGCAAGAAATGGATGGCTACAGTATTGTCTGGGTGAAATTTAGTGTTACCTAAAAATGTCCTCACGTTAACTCTGTGGTCTCTGAATATTTCAGAATTGTGTTTAAAATGAAATGTCTTTTGCAGACATCATTAAAATTGCAAGTTTAAATCTGAGTCTAGACCTGAGTTTGAGCCTTCCTCCCATTGTTTCCAGTGTAAATCTTTATTCACACGGGTGCTACCAGAGCCATCCACAGTGGTTTGTACTGGCATTAGCCAAAACATTCCTCTGCCTTCTCATTGGGACGGATGTGAACAAACCTATTAGAAACAATCTTACCACATTTCAAATGATGAAAGTATGAGCAACAGGAATGAGAAGAGAGAATTCAAAGAGTCGTGTGGGGGACAGCGAAGAGTTTGTGACACAGTCTGCTGACCAACACAAACGTCAGTGGTGTGTAAAGTGAACACTTCAGTGAAGAAACACTTCAGCCAATGCTGAAGTTTGAAAGCACTTTAGATAACGCTGTGATCTTGCAGACAACTGCAGGCATTTCTGCATCTGTGAGCAAAGTTCTCAGCTTTAGAGGAGCTCTATGAAAGTACATTTCTTTTCTAACATGCTGTTAATTGCAGGTCAAAGCTGGGTGTGTTGAAAGCTTTCAGTATAGTGACCTTTAGTGCACTGCAGAGCTTCATGGAAACCAAATCTGAAAAATACAGAATAACTTTTATAAAGATCTTTACTTGCCTAACTTATACAACACTGCAACTTTTTCTTGTGCTTCTAAAACAGTTCTTGGAGCATCTGCAGGTTTATCTCACCTTATAAATTCAGCAGTCGGCTCACCATTTTTGCAGTTGAATAAAGTTCATCAGGTACGTGACAACAAAACTTTTGTCAAAATACATATGTGTGGAGATCTTAGCATGAAAAATATTCTCAGAGTTTTAAGAAATTACAGCTAAAATCAAACGTTCTCATTAAAACTGTCTTTAAGAAAAGCACTGTATTGTGAGATGCCTGTGGGGATGTACGAGTAGACTGTGCTTACTAACCACAAGTTAGTTGTTTTATCTTAACTGAGCTTTTAATTTGCTAACACCTGCTGATGTAGGAACAACTTGCCATTACTGGCAAAAAAAATTCTCTTGGAATTAGAGCTCGAGGAGCATGGCACATTCATTTCTCTTGGAGCTGCTCATGCACGCTTCCTGTAGAGACTTGATTGCTTTATCTTACTCAAGCCAAGAGGCTTAGCATCCTTACCTTCATTTTAAAGCTTGCAGGGATCAAAATGTGCTATATATGCCATAAAAAGTAGGAATTTGCAGATGTTACTTTGTAGTCAAAAATACCCCAAGGTTATAAACTGTTTAAATTGTTCTTGGAGTATCTGTAATTCACTGTAAAAGTTGATACGACTTCCATATGGACACCAGAATTGCTGAAAGATTCTATAAAGGACGTGTGGGATGAGTTTGCCCTAGAGGTGGGTGATGAGAAGATGCTAGAGGAGCACCTAAAACCAGAACTACTCCCTGCAGCAGTTCACTTGGCCAGCAGCCTGCCTAGCCTCTGCCTTGCACTGGAGTTCTGTCGGAGATTTCTCCAGCTCTGCCAGGAGTGAAAATTTGCCTTTAATATTCATGGTGGGGATTTTCATAACTCCCTATGAGAGACTGGAGTCAATCGCTTTAACTTACTATTTCTCATATTTCAGAAATTCCAATTTAAAAAATAAAATCCCCTTAAGTAGTTCTTATTTCTGCTGTTCTTTTGGCAAACACAGACTTACAGATCTTAAAAAAGACCAAATTAAAATGCAGAGATACTCCTTATGTTAAGTATATTTAACTTTTCTGGGGTTTTTTCTGCTAAAAACTGGTAGGTGAATATATTCATTTTGAATAGATACTGCTTGATTTTGCCCCATCAAATGAGTTGCTTTTCTGCTGTACAATGAAAAAATACATCCTTCTTTGCTTGTACTTCTTTTATATTTAAATAACATTTTCAATTGGTATATTTAGTTACTGCTGCTCTCTCTTCTGCTGCTTCCTTGGAAGGCAATGTGGATGTTTCCTAATCGCAGCTGGAGACAGGCATGTTTTACACAGTTACCAGTGTGATTGATGACGATCCAATGTTTTTAGGCTGAAAAGTGCTGCAGCCAAATAACTTAGTGTTTTCTCTTTAGAGAGACTTACAAGTCTAATTCTCTTCTAGGGAGCTTCCTGTCATTTAATTAGCTCCAAACGTGGTCTAATAGCCTGGATTTTATTGACAGTGGTTTGATTATCCCAATTCCTTCTCTTAGGCACATTTTTCTGTTATTCAGTGGCTTATTTCAGAGCATTCTCTCAAGCCAGAGAACCAGGTCGCTATTTTTATTGTCTTGAAGTTCAGTGTTGTCACAAGATAGAGGAACAGTGTCTTGGCTTGATGCTCTCCCCACCTCCCCAGTCACACGCTGATTCAGCTTCCTGCGTATCTTGGGTTTGCTATTTTATATTCAAGGTTTTGTAAAGTGGTAATATGAGAAGAAACAATATTTTTAGGATGATTCTGCCACAACGTTATGAAATAATTGTTAACAAAAGATTCAACAGAGGGGAATTTGAACAGATGGGCTATTCATCCAGTAATCTTTCAACTCTGGAGGTAGCATGACTTTCAACTTCTTTTAATTTCTCTTAGTTACAGTTATCATGTGCCAAAATAATGTGTTTTAAACTTTCTCAGTGATGTGTTTTCCTCAGTCTTACAGCAGTTTATTAAATCTTTTATTAACCCACAGACCAAGGATTCTGACCAAGCTCTTTTTGCACTCTTGTATTTCTGAAATTTTTGCAATTGAACTAACACGTTTTCTTTGTTGATGTAATGAAGTTTAGAAGCCACAGCCACTGGTGTTGGTGACAATAAACAGCCCTGGATAACTTCTACTGGAAATCACCAAGACAATTAAAATGACAGATGCGTAACTAATCTGGACATGGCACTTTTTTGTTTTAAATTATACATTTCTGAGTCCAGAAGACCATATGTAGGCATAGAGGCTTTTTTTCCTAGGGAATTTGACCCTGCCACACAGAGACACAACCTAGGCTTGGAAACATCTGTGAGGTGTTTTGCAGGAGGCTGCAAAACCTGCAAAGGCACGCATCGGGAGAGCTGCCCTCTTCTTGGCTTCCATCTTCATTACCTGGTTTTGCTGATCTTTCCTATGTAGGAGATTTCAGAAAAATGAGGAAGGCTGTACTCCTCGTGATTTGACACAGTCAGTGTCCCATATATCTATTCTTGCACCACTGTACAAAAAGATCTATAGAGCAGCCTATATTTTGCTTGGTAAGTCATGCTCAGGAGCTGCTGCCAGAAAGATAGTTTTGAGCCGGTGTTCAGCTAGCGTGAATCACAGCGTGGTTTTGTTAGCCAGGGTGGACATAACGTTTCCTGTAAGCCACTGTGCTAGCCAGAGCACGTCGTGCTGAATATACCAGTAACCATCTGAACATACCAGTAACCATCTGACCATGGCACCCTAAAGGTGATGATTAAATGGCTCAGTGGTGGCAGACTGATCCAGAATTTTTGGAATGAAAAGTATTAATATTTTATAGATTTGACAATCTGTAGGCACTGTGATT